GACCGGCCCCGCCGTGGGAGCGAGCGGGGCGGGGCGGGCCGAAGCTGCCAGCACCGGGATTGGCTGGAGCTGATGAGGGGCGGGGCTTGCGCGGCAACCAGAGCCCCGCTGGCACGTCGGGCCGTGGGAGCGGGCGGGGCCGGTGAAGTCTGACGTCACCCGAGGGGCGGGCCGTGCACAGTGCCCCAACAAGCCCCGGACGGCAGACTTGGAAGAGCGGGACACAGCGACGAGCAGAGACGTCACTCGCTCGCGGGTTAGGGTCGGGCAACGGGAGGGACAGGGCCTGCAGAGTGGATCCGGCAGAAACCGTCCTGGACGAGCAAACTGGGTGGGGTGAACACTCTGGGCGTGGCTCGCCCTCCCAGAGTCACGGAGGCCCCGCCTTGTCTCCCCCCCCCGCAGCCCCCGCCGCGCCCCGCCCCCCGAGCTCCCACACGTGGGGTTCCCCGGGCGCACCCCGCCCGCCGGCCTCCTCCGCCAAGTGCCTGAAGGCTGCGGCCCCATCCGGAGAGCGAAAGAGCCAGCCCCTGGGCTGCGGGGGCCTGCGCTTGGCGTGCGTGAGCCACCTCGGGGTCCCGCGCGCCCCCCACCCCCCGCCCCCGACTGCGCACCTGCGCCCTTCGGACCCACGGCCGCCTCCAGCCCGAAGAAGTGGGGCACCGGGCCAGGAGGCCACCGCCCGCTGCCAGCAGCCTTGGAGGGGGCCCGGTGTGCCAGTGGGCCTCCGCCCAGGGCGTCCGTGATGCGGCTTACAGCGCGGTCCGCCTGCCCCACCGTGCCTCCAGCTGGGCCACCGGGGAGAAGGGCTTTCCCCTTCTCCCACCGCTGCGCTGGCCAGGCAGGGGCTTCCAGGCCGAGGGGCCCACTCAGGGGCTCCAATAGGCCCGGGCTGGCTTCACTGTGGTGGCGCAGCAGAGTGGGACCCTGGGGCTGGGGGGTGGGGGGGATCACAGGGCTTTGGTACCAAGCCAGGGGGCCAGGTTCTGCCCCAGGAGCCTGGATGTGAATTGAACTCCACGAGGGGCTTGGCCAGCAAAGAGTGGTCTGCGGAATGGAAAGGAGGCGACAGTATATACCAACAGAATCCACCTCCAAGGCCAATGGAGTGCCCCTGCCAGGGCCCCTAAAAGGAGATGGAGCGCTGTCTGGTCTCCTAGGTGGCAACTGGTAAACGAAGAAAGAGAGCAGCTCTGGTGAGACCCACACTGTGTGGTTCGCACGGGGCATCTCAGCAGTTCCAGGGGTTCTTGCAGGGTGGAGAACAGACCGGGCGCGGAGGGCGGGGCTGTGCTGGGAGCCGCCAGAAGACCCTCAGAGGACTTGCTGTGGGCTGATTTAAAGGAGGCCTGTTTCGCCTTCCCAGTTATGGGCAGGGGGCATGTGGCTTCCCAGTCACGTGCATGGTAGCCTGTGCTTTCTGCTTATCTCCCGCAGGGAGGAGCCAACTTTTGGGCTCTGGACACTCTGAGGCAGCCTCATGGAATCTTGAGTTTTGGCAAGATCGGAGTGCCCAGCACCTCTCCAAGCCTCCTTTTGCACTGCTGGCCCCTGTCCCGGAGGCTCAGCCCTCCCTCCTGCCACCCCTCCCTGCACAGATCCAAGCTGTTTCCTTATGAGGTCAAGGAATCTAGTTTGCCTTCTCCCCAAGGAACACCCCCACCCCGGCACCTGCCTCGTCCTTTTATGTCCCCCCATTAACCGACTGAAGTCCCACCAGGGATGGCGCCCACACACTCAACTGCGACAGTCCCCTGTGCCCACTCTGCGCCCCGGAGCCTGCAGCCACTCGGGGTCATCCCAGACTAGCAGTAACTAGGCCAGCCTGGTGCACTAGGCCCGTGGGCAGGCACCACCTGTCATCTAGAGGAGGAAGCAGGGACAGCACAGGAGGAGACGTGGCTGCGCCACAGCCCAAGTGCAGCGTGGCTCAGCGGGGACTTCCAGCGGTCAGAGGAGCTATGAGGGGAGTCTGGGGCCTGGCCCAGGGGACTCTTCCTGACAAGGGTGGGCAGAGGGAAAGAAAAGGAACTTCTCTGGGGCTGCAGTCAGGGTGGAAGGGGCAGCTTCCTGCCCCTTCCAAGTCAGAGCAAGGAACACTTCTGGCAGGACAGTGGCTGGGGTGTAAGCAGCATGGCATGAAGTCAGAAGTGGTGAGGGAAGATCACTGTCACCTTGAGTGCATGTCTCAGCACCGTGCCAAACTGGCGTTCACCGAGCTGTCAGTGTTTTCACGGTCAGAATCCACTTTGTATTGTAGAGTGACACAGAAGTTCTCTGTGATGTGAAAGGGTGTTTGGGTTGCTGTGAATCGCTCAGTGAGTCTCCAAAACTGTCAGTGGTTATTGTGAGGGTGAGTATGGAGGTCACAAAATGCCAAATAGTGAATGGCCACTGCCCTGTGTCCACACCCTGGTGCGTGCGACTGTCTCGCTGCTGCTGGCCTGAGGAACAGGCAGGTCTGGCTGCCTTTGCAGCTGGAATGGGGCAGGCGCTGGTGACTTTCTGAAACCTGCGGTGGGAGGATGGGTCTTTTGTCTGTCTGGCCTTTGCCAGGGAACAGCCGGTGTTCCCCGACCTGGAAGGAGCCAAGACTGGGAGCCACGTGTGTTTCGGGGTGAGGGCTGGGCAGGCAGTAGTGGAGAGCACGCAGATGGCAGTGGACTCCCAAGGTCCCCGTAGCCTTCTGGGCGCTCGCACAGCTATTGTGCTCTGGCTGCAATGCCAGGGGCAGGTAGATTTCCCTCCTTGCAGGACCGCCTTGACCATGGGCTCCAGCACAACTGCCTCTTGGGACCAAGCTCTTGTGCCCGTACCCAGGGGTGGTGGGTGCAGGGCCACTTCCGCCAGAGGGAAGAGATGCCACCTTGGGCCAACAGAAGGCAGCAGGGGCCGCAGGGAGCCCTGGCCGGCCTCTGTGCTCTCCGGGGCCTCGAACTGTTCATGGCGGGTGCGGCCCAGCCCCGCCCTCCCTCCTTCCTGCTCTTTTTGTCCTTTTTGTAATGAAGTTGATAAAATGGAAAATACTGAGGCCTTTCAAATGCTTTGAGAAACTTTCCTGCTGTGAGCCCCTGGCTCGGGCCTGCTGGGGTGTGGCACGCCGCACTGGGGCTGCGGCCCACAGGTGTTCAAATGACGTTGCTTTATGCGGCCTCCCTGAGGAAGTGACATTTGCGCCGAATCTGAAGTTACCAGGAAATGGGCACGTAGAAGAGGAACAGGGCACGCCTGGCAGTGTCAGGGTGTGGCTGTGCCCACCCACTTCACGGACACTTGGCTCTGTGGCTGCGCCCCGCTGCACACACGACTTGGGTTGCACCGCCTCTGTGCTGCCTGACGCTCCAGTACGCTCCAACAGTTCACCTGGCATCCAGGTGCCAGGGCCGCATCACTGGCAGCCAGGATGCCGGCTTGTCATGGGGTTCGGTTGTTGCTTCATGGTGGCCTGGCAGGTGGTGGGCAGCAGCCCTGCAGGGAGGTGGCTGGGGAGATTCCTGGGAGAGGGGGGGCCTTTTGTGCTTGGGCTGAGCAGTGGTCTCCTGAGGGAGCCCCCTCCCCTCCCCGCAGCCCCGCAAGCGGTGAGCTCATCCCCGGGTGGGGGGGGCAAGGGAGGCTCGCGGCACCCCCGCCCCCAGCTCCTGGGCGATTTTACCAATTAAGGCTTTCTCGCCGGGCCGGGCCGGGCCGGGCTGCGGGAGAGGCGTGCGGGGTAGCCGTGTCTTGTCCCCGGCCTCCAGGGTCATCAAGGTGTGGGATCTGCGCAAGAACTACACCGCGTACCGGCAGGAGCCCGTGGCGGCCAAGTTCTTCCTGTACCCGGGCAGCAGCACGCGGAAGCTGG